CTTTGAGGGCTAATTCATTATTGCTCCTTCAAACCCCTACTCAGGATGGCTTAAAAATCCTATTTACATGAACTTAATCTCTGGGAATCCTGTTAGGTCTGCATAGAAGAAAACCTTCCCCAAAGGTCATTTTCTTCATCCAGAATCCCAAGGTTCCCAACCAAGGACCACTTTAAAATAGTTTCTTGAGCTTCAGGAGCAAAACAAACCCAAATTTCAAGGCTGCATGATGTCAGGACTATGGTTTCAAATTCTCCCCAGGGAACTGTTTTTTCCTATGTAAAACTGAGGTGTAGAAAGACTACCTACTGGATTGCTTCCCATGGCTAAGTAGTAGACTCTTCTGCCTACCCCTTCACTGGAGTTATAGTCTTCTAGGTTGTGGCTTTGTTTCAGAAGTTTCTGCCCCATCCTCCAATGTTGTATGAGATCTAAGACACTCCTCCCATCCCACACAGACTGTTGAAATTTAAGGCTCTAACTGTGACTTCCATACATTGTTGTGGGATTGCCAAATAGTATAACCAACTTAGAAAATACACTGGCATTTTCTTATAAAGTTAAACATACACTTCATATACAGCCCAGCAATCCCACTTCTACATACCCAAAAGAAAACGTGTTCATACGAAAACCTGTATGCAAGTATTTTTAGTGGCTTTATTCATAAATGCCCAAATTGCAAAACAACCTAAAAGTCCATGAATTGAGGGATGGATAAACACACTATAGTACCTCCATACTACAGAATTAAGAGTACCATAAGAAGAATGAATCACTGATGGGTGAATCTCAGCATACATACATACATGATTTATAGAACATTCTGGGAAAGGCAAAACTATAGGGCCAGACATCAGATCAGTAGTTGTTGGACACTGAGGATGAGGAGATGAATCAAAAGCATTACAACGGGGAGATTTTTGGAAGTGATGGAACGGTCCTTTATCTTCACTATGATGGTGTTTACATGATTATATCAATTTTCCAAAACTCAAAACTGTACATTTAGAGGAATGAATTTTGTTCTATGTAAATTATATATATATTTTTTAAGAAAAGCCCAGAACCAAATGGCTTCATCAGTGAATTTTACACATTTAAATAAGATTTGACAACTACCCTTCTCAAACCCCTCCCCCAAAATGAGGAAGTTTTCCCAAAATCCCCAACTAATTTAAGGAGATTAGCATTATCCTGATACCAAAATCAGGTAATACTACAAGAAACTACAGGCCAATAACTCTGATGAATATAAATGTAAAAATTAAAAACTTAGCAAGTTGAATTCAAGGGCACATTAAAGGATCACACATTATGATCAAGCAAGATTTATCCCTGAAATGCAAATATGGTTCAAAGCATGCAAATCGATAAATGTGACACATCCCAATAGAAAGATAAAAACCATACGATTGAGGCACCTGGGTGGCTCAGTCACCTTCAGCGCAGGTCATGACCCCAGGGTCCTGGGATCGAGCCCCGCATTGGGCTCCCTGCTCCACGGGAAGCCTGCTTCTCCCTCTCCCACTCCCCCTGCTTGTGTTCCCTCTCTCACTGTCTATCAAATAAATAAATAAAATCTTAAAAAAAAACCATAATTGTATGGTTTTTATAGATGCAGAAGTATTTGACAAAATACAACTTCGTGATAAAAAGACAAAAAATTGGGCAAAGGAACAAACTTGAACATGATAAAAGCCATGTATGACAAGCCCACAGCTAACATCATACTCAACAGTGAAAGGTTACAAGCTTTTCCTCTAAGAGGAAAAACAAGGCAAAGGCACCAACTCCTATTCAACATAGTAATAGAAGTCCTCATCAGAGCAATCAGACAAGAAATAAAGGCATCCAAATCAGAAAGGACTAAGTAAAATTCTTTGTTTGCAGGTGATAGGACTTTACATATAGAAAATCCTAACTATTCCACCAAAAAACTTTTAAGTCAGTAAAGCTGCAGGATACAAAAAAACATACAAGTCAGTTCCATTTTAATATACTAACAATGGAATACCTGAAAAATGAAAGAATCCCATTCACAATAGCATCAAAAACAGTAAAATACTTAGGAATTTAGCCAAGGAAGAGAAAAATCTGTACAATGAAAACTACAAAACTTTGATGAAAAAGTTGAAGTAGACCCAAACAAATGTAAACATATCCCATATTCATAGATTGGAAGAATACTGTTAAAATGTGCAAAGCCATTTGTAGGTTGAGTGCAATCCCTATCAAAATCTAAATGGCATTTTTCAAACAAAAAAAGAACAAAGACACTAAAATTTGTATGGAACCACAAAAGACTCCTAATAGCCAAAGTAATGCTAAGAGAAGAACAAACCAGGAAGCATCACATTTCCAGATTTCAAACTACATTAGACCTTTTAACGGTGCAGGGGTTAGAAGCACCAACCTCCATGCAGTCAAAAATGCACATGTAACTTCGGACTCCCCCAAAACTTAACTACTAATAACCTAGTATTGACTGTAATATCTAACCAGTAACATAAACAGTCAATACATATTTTGTAAGCTATATGTATTATATACAGAAAACATTAATAAAATCCAAAGGGAAAATAGATTTATAGTACCACACTGCATTTATTAAAAAAATTCATATGACGTGGACCCATGCAATTCAAACCCTTTTAGGTCAAGGGTCAACTGTATACTATAAAGCTACAGTAATCAAAGCAGTCTGGCAAAAAAAAAAAAAAAACAGACACAGAGACCAATAGAGCAGGATTGAGAGCCCAAAAATAAAGCCCCGCAGATACAACTACTTTTTGAAAAAGGAGTCAAGAATATTTAATAAGGATGATCTCTTCAACAAATGGTGTTGGGAAAACTGAATAACCACACAAAGTTGTTGGATTACTGTATCACCACTAACAAAAATTTTAAATGGACTAAAAAATTAAACACAAGACCTGAAACCATAAAACTTCTAGAAGGAAACAGGGGGAAAGCTCCTTGGCATTGGTCTTGGCAATTATTTTTTGGATAGGACACCAAAAGCACAAGCAATAAAATCCAAAATAATAACTAGATCTACAAATTAAAAAGCTTCTACACAGCAAAAGAATCAACAAAATGAAAAGAGACCCTGTGGAATGAGAAAAAAAACATTTGCAAATCAGCAATCTGGCATAAGTTTAATATTCAAAATATATTTTTTTTTAATATTTTTTTTATTTATTTGACAGAGACAGAGAGAGGGAACACAAGCAAGGGGAGTGTGAGAGGGAGAAGCAGCCTTCCTGCTGAGCAGGGAGCCCAATGCGGGGCCTGATCCCAGGACCCTGGGATCATTACCTGAGCTGAAGGCACACGCGTAATAACTGAGCCACCCAGGTGCCCCTAATATCCAACATATATTTTAAAACTCCCACAACACAATAGCAAAAAAGCAGATTAAAAAATGGGCAGAGGAACTCAATAGTCATTTTTTCACAGACATGCAAATGGCCAAGATACACGAAAAGGTGCTCAACATCACTAGTCATCAGGCAGATCAAAACGACAAAGATCACCTCACATCTGTAAAAATGGCTATCATCAAAAAGACAGAAAAATAACAAGTGTGGAGAACAAGGAACCCTTAGTACACTGTTTGTGGGAATGTAAATCGGTACAACCACTATGGAAGTTCCTCAAAAAATTACGAAAACAACTACCATGTGATCCAGCAATTCCTACCTCTGGGTGGATTAAGCTGAGTATATATCCAAAAGAAATTAAATCACTACCTCAAAGAGATATCTTTACCCCCATATTTATTGCCACATTATTCACAACAGACAAGACATGGAAAAAACCTAAGTATATGTCAACAGATGAATGGCTAAAAAAGTTGTGGTATATATACAATAGAATAGTATTCAGCCATGAGGAAAAAAGTCCTGCATTTCCAACGTGAATCAACTTTGAGGGCATTATGCAAAGGGAAGACAGAGACAGACAGATATCGCACGGTATCATTTATAAGTAGAATATAAAAAAACCTGAACTCACAAAGACAGTGGAATGCTGGTTGCAAGGGGTTAGGGGAAATGGGGAGAGCTGGTCAAAGTATACAAACTTTCAGTTATATTACAAGTAAACTCTGGGGATCTAAGGTACCCATGGTGATTCATGGTGATTACAGTGAATAATACTGTATTATGTACTTCAAATTTGCCAAGAGTGTAGATCTTAAAATGTTCTCATGACAAAAAAAAAGCCAATGATAATTATGTGAGAGGGAGGTGTTAGTTAACACTGTTGGTAATCATAATACAATATACAAGTATATCAAATCAAACAGTTACACGTCTTAAAGTTACATAGTTATATGTCAATTATATCTCAATCAAATTGGAATAACAGGAAAGAAACAAGTTTCCAACTTCTCGGTAATGGCAGTTATCGCTCTGGTTTTCACTTTTCTCCCTGTATTCGGTCTCTAAGAATTTTTTTTCTTGTAAGTGCAATGATGGGTCTTAAAAGATTTTTGTTCTGTTTAATCCAGCATTTATAGGCATTTTGAAGATTTTTTTTTTTAAAACCTCTATTCTACCATATTGCCCAATGCAAAAGTCTCCCATTCTATTGAAGATCAAGACTTTAAAATTTCATATTCTTAAATTCTTTTTATCACTGTGTCCTGTTTCTATAAAGTACCACAGTGTAGTTATTGTATTACCTTCTTTATAGATAAGAAAACCAAAGCTCACAGAAGCTGAGACTTGTTGCCTATATACCGCCAGATTCTGAGAATGGAAACCAATGTGAAGATTATCTTAAGCCTCTTAAAACTAGGTCAGTAAGAAACATTAAAATGATCATTTACATTATGCATCATCCATACTTGGCAGTACAGTGAACTGTGTGACCGTGAACAAGTCACTTAATTCTGTCTAGTTTCAAAGCACCTACTTCATAGAATTGTTGTGACAATTATTCATGTCAAGCACATAGAAAAGCACATGGCAGAAGTAGAAACAAGTTCTTACTTTGAATAAGCCATGCTTTTGGTTGCGTTGACCAAGCCATAAGTTGCTTCCTGGAGGAAGGTTGGTTTCAGGAGGGTCAATCACACGTTCATAAATCCTGTAGGGACAAAGAACAATTATTAATAAAGAGTTTGCTCAAAACAGAACCAAAAGGTTGGTATGTTGTTTGAAGTCTTCATGGCATTAGCTGCTGGTATAGAGAGATGGAGGCAGTATAGGGCATGTTTTAGATGATAGGTAACATGAACGTAGAGATCTACTTCTTGACAACACTTGGACACATTAAATGGGCCTCTGTTGGCTTTCTATTTTCACCTTTTCGGCAGGGAAAGGAGGAAAAAGGTAACATTTTTAAGTGTCTGCTCGGAGCAATGATCCTTATACCTACTCTGTGAGTAAAGTGGTTTGATTCACATTACAGTTGAGAAAGCTGAGGTTCAGAGAACATAAATGGGTCAACCACAAGTTAAGACAGGGAGCAGTTAAGTTGGGATGAGAATCCCCATCTGCCTGGCTGCAAAGCCCATGCACTCCCCTTTGCACTCTACTCCTCCCTGGCTTTGGTTTATCTGGCCCCTACCCCTTTCTACAGTAACCTGCTATACTCCTTCCAGCAAGTGAGCAGTTGACCACATGGTAATATGCTTAGTCTACAAAATCAAGTAACTGAAATCATCCCATCAACAAATATTTACTGAGCACTTTTTAGGCTCCAAGCTCCACATGAGGCAACAGGAGATAGAGCCATCAACCAGACATCCAAAATCCTGCCCTCATGGAGCAAAAAAGAAAGTCCCATATATGAAAAAAATCTTCACAAGATATATGAAGACATAACTAATACAGAGGATACAACAGCCCCAGGATCTTTGAAGGTATCTCCTGAAACTACTCAACAATTGAAGAGTCTCAACTGTTCTGCCCTACCAAGCCCTAGTCACAGATCTTGAGATTTGTGCTCCCCTTAGAAATAGTCCCTGCAACCACGAAGTACCAGCTGATCACAGGCCTTCACCTCACCCCTAGCAAGTGCCTCTCAACACCTTCTCTGCTGAGAAGGGGAAGGAGAAGCTTGCCTGAGAATTGAACTTGTCATTAGATGCTCAGAAGATTCTGGACGGGGTGCCATAGAGACCATCGGGGAATTTCAATTACTCCTGATGGCCCGTCCGTTCCTTGCTCTCCTCAGTTCTTGCTCAGAGCAGCTACAGGAGAAGTCAGCTCCAGGTACTTCCAAAGGTCTGGAAATTCATCAGACCTCCATGCTGGAAGGGAACTGACTGCCGCCTGCCAAAGGGCTACCTGTTCCTCCAGTGGCTCTCATAAGACAAGAACTGAGAGACCACCCACTGCGTCACAGCCAGGGATGGAATGTGAGATCTTGCAGTTGGGAGCACTGCAGCCTTGTAGCTTAGCCACACTGTCCATCACTCTTACTCCCCACTGGAAAAGTGCTGTTTCCTAACAATACTGCAAGGTATTCAATGGAGAAAGCTCTAAATGTATTCGATCCATCTGTACTAATTTTCTTCTCGTTATAAATGGATGCTCAAAACAAACATGGCAATATAAGTCTCCCTTAAAAAGACAGGCTATGTTTTCTCCACAGGAACACAACCTCTTTCACAGCTTAGAATGAACAATTTTAGATGAAACAATCATCTGTCAAAACTGCTTTAACCCAAGAAGCTGCTATATATGCTTCCTTTAAAAGGGGTTTTTTCTAATATTCTCAAAAAACTAGAAACAAGCCAAATTTATAACAAAAGTGAAATACGTAAGTTATAGATCAGCTTGATGTAATTTACTACAGTCATTAAGAGTGACAAATATGCAGGTTATGAAATATGGGAAAGTATAGACAAAATAATCTTCACTGGAGGAAAGTAGAATGTAAAACTATTTATGAACTACAGGGACAAGGATGCAAAAATTTTGTTCCCTGTTGGTGAATTTCAGAGGAGACAAGAAATGGAAATCGCTGTATTTAGGTAAAGAGGCAGAAGCTTAATTTTCTGTGAGGTTGTTTCACTAATACATTAAAAATACTATCAAATTATTTATCTGAACCTTTCATTTTAAAACATTTGCATCTGTCGGAATAAGAGCTTTCAATTTCAATGCTTTCTTTTTGGTTTTAAATATATCAGAAGGTGAGCTCCAATGAGCAGAGTAGGCTGTTAATGTTTATTAAGTGCATGAAGGATCAAAAAAAAAAAAAATCAACTTTCTATCATGCCTTATCTTCCCAAGTATAAATGCTCCTTCTGCCTTAGAAATAGTGGGCCTCAGATATTTGCTTTCTCAACCATCAGCCCAAGAAGTAGGGCAGTGCCCCGGTGGCTGTGTCAAAAGGGTATGATTTCGGGGGTCACAGAGCCCCCATCAGGATCCCTTCTGATGCCACGAAAATCTGCTGGCTGCTGCCTCCCCCCCACCCCACCCCAGCCCTGCCAATTCACTCCAAGTGACCGACCTCACTGGAGAATTCCAGGTAGCAGGCCAAATCAACAAGCTGGATCCAGACACAGCAAAATGAAGAAAGCTTAAAAACAGTGTTAAAAAAATAAATACCCACACAGAGGAATCCTATATGAACTCTAGGAAACAAACTGAAGGTTGCTGGAGAGGAGGTTGGTGGGGGGATGGGGTAACTGGGGGATGGGCATTAAGGAGGGCACATGATGTAATGAGCACTGAGTGTTATATGCAACTGATGAATCACTAAGTTCTACTCCTGAAACTGATACAGTATATGTTAACTAAATTGAAGAATTTAAAAAAAAAAAAAGCAGATAAACCATATTTGAGGCACATTCCACAAAATAATTGCCTGTGCTCTTTCAAATGTCCATGTCATAAAAAGCAAAGACTGAAGAATATTTGCCAATTAAAAGAAACCAAAGGGACATAAAAACTCCATGTGAAACAGGATCCTGGTTTGGAGCTGGGGACGGAAAAAAAAAATCCTATGCAGGACTTTAGTGGGAAAATTGGTGAAACTTGAACTGTATATTACATACTAGTATTGTATTGATGTTCTATTTCCTGATTTTGAGAACTGGTCATGTATACTGAAGTGTTTTGCTCTTAGGAAATACACACTGAAGTATTTAGGGGTAAAGTCCTGATATTTGCAACTTCTTCTCAAAGGCTTCAAAATAACAGTGTGAATATGTATAAATACAGACACATGTAAACACACATTGTGCAGAGAGAAAACAGAATCTGGGCTGAGTGCAGGATTGTTTTTTGTGCCATCCTGAAAGCTTTCCTGTAAGATTAAAATTATTTTAAAAGTTTTGAGACTACAGTAAAAAAAAAAAAAAAAAAAAAAGAGGATCTGTAATACATATAAACTAAAAATACACACATTCAAAACAATTTTCTATCTATTAGCCAAGGACCCCTACAAATTTAAAGACTCACGTAAGGCACATGGTAGTGTTTTCCTAAAGGAATGGGAAGGGCAAAAGGGAGGAAAAAGCAAATGACTAAAAGATGAATGAATGAAACAAAAGGAGTATTGCACAGATTAATGCTGGTAACACATCATAAGCTAAGAAATAAGATTCTCGGGCGCCGAGATTCACTCCTGGGTGGCTCAGTCGTTAAGCGTCTGCCTTCGGCTCAGGTCATGGTCCCAGGGTCCTGGGATCGAGCCCCGCATCGGGCTCCCCACTCGGCGGAGAGCCTGCTTCTCCCTCTCCCACTCCCCCTGCTTGTGTTCCTGCTCTTGCTATCTCTGTCAAATAAATAAAATCTTTTTAAAACATTTTAAAAATAAATTCTCACACCCCTATCTGTACCTCCTTTACAAAGAGACTTACACCACCGACATGCCAGACAAACACAATCTTGACAGAAGGGCTGACCCCTGGGTTATAGTTTAGGTGGACTGGCTCAGGCGGACAGGCAGGTAAGGCGCTGTGATTTGTCACTTAAATCTAGTATCGATCAAGACAGATGAAAAGTCAAAGCTAATGGAATGACCTCCTTGGTTTCCTGTGTGGTCAGGAAATAGAAACTTGATATTCTAATATTCTGGTTAATGAGGTTTTCTTCACATCAATATCAGGTTATCTACAATGTGTTTGATATGGTGTTGGCTACAGGGACACACACAGCAAAACTAATATGGCCAAGTCCCTCTCCTCAGGTCAAATGCCTGAGCCAGGAAGCCAACCCACAGGCACACACCTTATCATTCAGTGAAGTGCAATGATCTATGCAAGCAGAAAGGAAAATCAGAATTCTGTCTGTCATAATCAGAGAAGATTTTCCGAAGAAGGGAACACCAGAGCACATTTTTGGATGAAAACCAAAGTGGAGCTGACAACGCAGACATAAAGCCAACATTTACACAGCACTTAGTGTGTGCCAAGCATTGCACGTGGAGGGCTTTCCATGTATTAATTCACTTATCTCTCACAACACTACCATCAGGTAGGTGTTCTGGGCACGGCACGGTTCAATACCTTGTCCATGGCTATGCAATTTGTAAACTGCAAAGCTATATTTGATCCCAGACCCCCAAATCTGTGCTACTCACTCAAGTAAGTTAAAATTCTTAACTTGACTTAGTCATCAGGAAAGAAAACGGAAAACAAGTTCATGTGCCAAAGTATGTGGCCAACACTGGTTAGCTCTCCCAGAAGCCCCTTTTCTCTTCCTCCAGGGCTCACAGTTACGCTACATTTCCAGCTGACCTCACAGCTAGGGGTGGCCAGGTCATGTGAGTGGAGGTGCAACCCTTCCAGGCCTGCCTTTTCCCCAAAAGTATCTCTCTCAAGCATCTTTCAACCATTCCCTCCACCTTCTTTCAGGTGACTAGAGAAGATAGAGAGCTAAGAGGCAGGCAGAAACAAGATGGAAAATCCTAGATTCCTAAATGACATGGAAAGGCTACCTGCCAACTAGACACACGTAACTGCATGCTACCTAAGCAAAAAAATTCTACGTTAACCCATTGAGAAAGAGAGGATTTTTTGTAGTTCTGGCCAGTATTATTTTCCCTAATATGCCCCACCTAAAATCAAAGAGGACTGATGTATTTTCATGCACACGAAGCCAAGAGATACCAGAGATAGCGTGGTG